ATCCTACAGTGCTTCACCAGGAGTTGTTGTTGGTGAGTGTCATCGAGTCGGTTCCGACCCATAGTGACCCTGAACAGGGTTTCCGAGGCTGGAAATCTTTATGGGAGCAGATAGCCTCATCTTTCTCACCAGGAGTAGGTGGATACTATTGCATTGGGAATTCAGAATCATTGTTTTCTGTGGACCTTGAATTCTATATAATTCAGAATCATTCTTTTCTGTGGACCCTTTCTTAGCATACAATTCAGATCTATCATTGTTTAGTTTTAACTACTCTTAATTCTGCTTTACTGGCATAATTTGTGTTACCAAATAAGGAGAGAATCTGAAGCATAGACAAGCTCCTTGTCCTATGGAAGACGGATGCAATTCTGTGTTTCTCTGTCTTCCCACTAGAATACATATTTTAAAGAGCATTGATCGTGTCTTATTCATCCATTTACATCCAGAATATAGTAAGTGCTTGATTCATAATAGGATCTTCATTAGTATTATATGGAAGAATAAATCACTGAATAGACAACAAAAGCAAAACAACCCTAACATAGACATGGCATTTTGGAGCTATCTTTCAAAACTGAGATCCTATTAATTTCATAAAGATTATTATGTCATCTTGGTTACCAGAATCTCTAAGACCTTATTCAACATTTATTAAACATAGATGTTGTATCTACTACACGAAAAACAAACTTTGAGGGGATTAATACTTCACTTAACCGATATCATGAAATAGCAACAATAGAAATAATCTTTTGGTTTGTCATAAAATTACACACTTTATAACTTTATTCCTTCTGGAATTGGGGAAGTTTATAGATCCATCTATTTCATTTGACTAAAGCAGCCTTTCTCCGAGACTTAGAGACTCAGAATGTCTAGGCCTCCGCTGCGTGGGATACAACATGAGCACAATGGAACACAGACGCCAATAGTACACTGATGGAAGGCCCCTGCTAGGACGTTAGAGATGATGACATTCACTATTGAGGCTTTAGCCATTCCTGATGGTGAACACTCTTCGTATGAACTCACACAGGAACAGGGATTAAAGAATTTCTGGTACTTAAGAGAACATCCCTGTTTAGAACTCTGTTTCACTTCTGCAATCGAGAGAATTGCTCGGAAACACATTTAGACTGCACACTGTGAAAGTATGAAAAATGTCGATTTAAACTATATTCAGACAGAAGGGCAAAACAAACATCAAAACTGTTCCCTTAAGGGAACACAGCAACATAATATTTCAGAAAATAAGAATGTTATGGAGAAAAAACTAGAAAGTATCTCTAAGTCCTTGCCAGTTTTAGGGATCAAGAGACTGGTGTTTCTTTGTGATTTACTATATAAACTGCTAAAGTCCCTTTCTCCCAAACAGGTAATTTGGCTTTGGGATTTTCATGTGAGACAGTAATTCGTAGGGTACTTCCCATTCCACAATTTTATGACATAAAGCAAATGATATGCTGAGTTACACTCCTGGTTTTCTGTGGTTCTGTGGTTGTTTGCGCTTGCCTTGGCCCCTTCCTGGGACTGCTTACTTGGCAGTGGTCATAGAAACTGTCCGGATGTTACAATAGTAAATGGCAACATGGGGCCCTTAAGATGCTTGACTATGATCCTGGGAAGCAAACTGGGGGTGGGGGTGGGGAGAGGTGTAGAAAGAGATTTTGTTTGCTTTGTTTTGTTTTTACCAGCTGATACTGATAGGACCTAAGGAGCTCTGGTAGCGTAGTGGTTATGAGTTGGGCTGCTACCTAACCTCAAGGTCTGCAGTTTGAAATTACCAGCCATTCCATGAGAGAAAGATGAGGCTTTCTGCTCCCGTAAAGATTTACAGCCTTGGAAACCCTGTACAGGGTCGCTATGAGTCAGAACCAACTCTAGGGCACACTACCACCACTAATAGGACCAATGAAAGGTTCATAAACATATTATCTTTTTCCCTATCCTTCCATTCAATGCCAGAGAAAGCAAATCAGAACTGATTGCTGCTCTTTACAAATGATTTACACTAAAGTTGCCTGGCATCCTTTCCCTTAAATTTAAATTTATTATGGCTGGGTAAATGTCATTGTGTGTGTATGTGCATGCTTATGTGCACATATGAAAAGATGGATAGTAAAAGGTTCAAAGGCTACAGAATTTTATCTTCTCCCATAATATGCCCCTAGGCTCTTTCCTGGAGTCTTGGTGTGGTGCTATGGGCTAATGCACTGGACTGCAAAATCGGTTTGAACTGCAAAGTCAGCGGTTGAAGCTCACCAGCTGCTCCTTGGAAAGCCTACACAGGTTCACTATGGTTCGGAACCGACTCCAAAGTACTTAACAACAAACAACAACAAGGCTCTTTCCTGTCCTTAGAGAAAGCTGTTTTAGAACTCTTAAGCATTCCCTACCTGATTCTTCATTAGCTTTTCTTTAAGGCTATGTAAATGGGAAGGAAGAAGTCAAGAAGGAAGATCATTTGTCCCCAGTGGTTCTGTGGGTATTGAGGGTTGAGTTGGGTACTCAAGCAAAACCATTTTTACTGTAAAATACACTGTTTTCCTCAACCCCACCAGGCCATATAAATGTAATAAGCCTTGGCTAATCCAAACAAATGAAGAAACCAAAGGCAAAAGGTATCTTGATGTTCCCAGTAATGGTGTAGTCCTAGAGAAAACTGGACCATTCATAGATGAACACATTCACTTCTCAAGAGTTTACCTCTGCAGATTTGGATTTGACATAAGATATCTGGTCCATTTGATCCAAGGTCTCTTGACCTTCTGTGTTCAATGTTCTCCTCACACTTCCTTCACTTTCACATACCTACTCAAGCCAACTTTGGAGCAATCTAATCTCCAGGTTATTCCTATCTGAAAATTCCCAGGATTGATTGTTGTTGTTGTTGTTAAGTGCTGTTGAGTCGATTCCGGCTCATAGTGACCCTGTACAGGGTTTCCGAGGCTGTAAATCTTTACAGGAGCAGAAAGCCTTATCTTTCTCCAGCGGAACAGCTGGTAGTTTCGAACTATTGACCTTGCGGTTCGCAGCCCTATTCATAACCACTACGCTACAGGATTTATTAAACACTTTCAAAAAGAGTGAATGGCTGAACTGAAATGCAATGCTTGATGTAAATAGATCTGTGTCAGATCCTAGAGAACTGGACTGCTACAAAATATCAGTTTATTAACTGACAAAATTGGAATGACCTAGGAATCTGGTTAAACTGGGTCACATCCCCAAAGAGTTTGCTTTAATAAGTTTGACAGGCAGCCAGGTTTGCTGAGTTTAGGAACTCCAGTTTTAGCCAAATGACTCAACTCAAAAGTCATTCATGTCAGACTCCTGGAGCCTTTGTTTGATGTACTTATTTTCATGTTGTCCAGCTAGCTTCAATGCTGTGTACCTGATCTTTAAGAATAGGGATTGTGCCATTGGGTAAGGTAGAGGGTCAGAGAAAAAGAGAAAGACCCCCAACGAGATGGATCAGCCAGGTGGCATCATTGATGGCATCAAGTGTGGCAGCAGTAGTGAGGTTGGCCCAGGATTGGACACTGTTTCGTTCTGCTGTGCATGGGGTCGCTATGAGTCGGTTCCGACTCGATGGCACCTGACAACAACAACAACAACAACAAGTGAAAGTAAACTGGGAATCACAGTAACAGTTTATTTAAGTTATTCTCACAAAATGATCCATTGATACTACTCTTTTGACACACTTATGTGCCTATATATGTACACCTAATCACATTTCTCATCTCTTGGAGCTATGGACAAATCAGCCAAACACTTGGCCAGGGCTGCCATAGATCACTGCTCAGTCTGTACCCTGCATGGCTCTGGGAACATTTCTTATAGACTGCAGTTGGGCAATGCAGTGCTTCTTAGAAAAAGTGAGTCATTATACTGAAAGCCAGAAGGAACCCACTACTGAGGAAGCAAACACAATGTCTAGAGGTGAAAGTTCAACAGAATTATGTTCTTGCTATGATGCTGGGTCACAGAGTATGTTTTCAACACATAAACACACATACACTCTACCTCTTGGACTTGGACTTTCTGTGATTCAGGTTGATTTCCCTTTCACACCTCTGTACCAGAAATATATTGAGAAATGTTACAACAAATTAGAGGTGGAGAATTAGCCCAAGGTGGGTGATCCCCCAACTCAAGGCTTCTCTAGATTCCTGGAACTGTTTAAAGTCAGTCTTGGCAATCTTTATCTCCAGAGCCCTTTTGTTGAAACCCAGTCCCATGCAATAAAGCACGTTTATTTCATGCAAAACAGCTCATTTGATGCGTACAGCTCTCCATACCCCATTTTACTGTGTATAACTCAGTTGGGGGTACCTAGTATGGAAAAACATGCATAGCGCAGCAACAAGGAATGTTCCCACCAAACAGAAGTAAAGGAGCTGCAAAGCCAGAGGAGGATTAGCTTTCCCCATTTCAGTTCAAGAAAAGCTCTTGTTTCTACAGTCCACTGGTTTGGGACAGCATTTGCCCTTGGCTTTGAGATGACGTTTTAGTCAAAGGAAATCATATTAATTCCCAGGCCTCTCCGGTCTCTCAGGGATCAGGAGCTGGAGTCTTCCCTCAATTGCAGTCCTTTCCTTAAAATCAGTTCTAGGCCTTTGTTTTTGATGTATGAAATGATGGGCTAGTCCTGTGAAATTCCTCCAATCTCTTCCACTTTGCAAACTCCAGAACCATTTCACCAATAAGTGAAAACCCAGGGGAGAATTGACTGAGAGCCAAGGCTTCAGACATGCAAAGCGCACAGCCCTGGGAAAACAGCAGCACCTGGGACAGGAGGCTCCCATCACTTTACATGAGAATGGTATGGGTCTTGCAAACCAAACATACATTGAAAACCAGTGGTGGCCCAGGTTGGACATACTGTATGGAATGTACAGCTTACTGAGAACCTGGACCAGGGAGCCACCTGTTCCTCTAGCTCACATATACATTTAGTTCACACCACCTCAGGCCACTCATGGTTTGCTTACCTGCTCATTGTTGCTCTCCCACCATTCCCCATACTCCCTTTGGGGGTGAAACATTCTATTTCCGACTTGTGCTGAGCCAGTCTCCTGTCTTTGTACCTGGTAGCATGAACAAGGACAGGAGCAAACAGAAAGACGTGATTGTGTGCTTGACTGCCCTACTGGAGAAGAGCCATGGCTGCAGGGAGGGCCATCCCATGCCCAAACCCGGGTTCCTGGGGTATCTGTTAGATTATTGTAATGTTATTTTTCTGATGCTGGGGCTGATTTTGTTACTTCTTGGTTACACCACATGGTTAAACCTTTATATTACCTATTAATCTGTAATTTATCACACTTAATAATCAACAATAAAAGGAATATGTTATAATTCCTAGCATCTGAGAAATAAATGTATACCAATAAATTTGAATTCATCTCTTGTTTACCATATGCAAGGCACTATACCAGAACTTTACCAAAGTGTAATCTTGACAAAAATCTTGTGGCCAAAGCTCTGTTATTATTATTTCCGTTTTACAGAAGAGAAAACCTACTATTATTAGGAATAAATCAATTGACCAAAGACACGCAGTGAGCAGTGGGGTTGGACTTTGAACTCAGAGGGCCTAGATCTAGACCCCACATTTTTAATCTTTATAAAATGTTGACTTGCATTATCAGTTTTACAGATAAAAATCCTCATTATTGTTAGTGAGTCTTCATTAAATGTTGCTATGCTGGAAACCACAAGGTCGGCAGTTCAAACCCACCAGCTACTCCAAAGAAACCCTATACAGGGTCATTATGAGTCAGAACCAACTCCATGGCACTTACTAACAATAACAAATGCCTAAAACACTAAATTCTTCAATGAAAGAAGGCATGTTCCTTGGATGAGAAAGGTTTACATAACAATTAAGCTATAGTTTGATCATTGGTATTGTTAAGTGCCATTGAGTGGGTTCTGACTCATAGCAACCCTGTATAGGGTTTCTGAGGAGTGGCTGGTGAATTTAAACTGTCATCCTTGCGATTGAGACTGACCTTGTGGTTGAGTGCTTATCCTACAGCGCCACACCAGGACTGTGTGTGAAGGGTGACTAATCAGAATTGGCAACCCCTTACTCCTGAAGGAAACTGAGAGCATCGTCTAAAATAAAATGAGATTCCCAGTATTAATCTAGTATTTGGTATATCAAGATGAACCTTTATATGTGAATGACAGTTTTTAAAGCCAAAGTGCTTGCACAGAAATAATTTCTTTTATCAGTTTAAGCCTGTGGGATAGATAAAGAAGGCACTGTTATCCAGATTTGTCAAATGAGGAAACCAAAACTTAACTGATTTGACCAAAGTCACAAACCAGAAGAGATTAACTTCTAATAGAGTTTACAGGTAATAAATCATTTCCCCTCCAAAGTGGAGCCGGAAGTGAAACCACTTCTCCCATATTCCTGGTGTTCAATAGACAAAGATAAAGTGAGTTCCTAACATATTTACCCGTGAAATAGTCATATTATTTATAGTTTCTTTCCCTGCTGTCTCAAAATTAATATAAAATAAAACTAAATACTGAAAAATGAAAATAATTATTGGTTCTAAGTGCAGGCCCTTTTCTCAATGTTTTCTTCTGAGTTACTAGCAATATTTAGTATCTGAATGAAAATGGCTCATTGTATTGAGCTAAATGAATATAATTAATTGATTTATTCAGTAGACATTAACTGAATATCTATTAAGTTCCAGGCAATAGGCTTTGTATGAGGAGAGAAATAAATAACCCACAGGTCCTGCCTCATAGAGTCTAGATTGGAAAGGAAGAAAAGAAAGCAAGATGGGAACAAGTAACTCTATGTCTAGGCTAGAAAAAACAGAGGACAAAAATGGAAAGGTAAAGCATCAAAACAAGCCAGACTGAGTAGCCTTTAATTTACCAAGAAAACTGCTCTTTGAAACCAATCATTGTAAAGTATCAATCATCAAATGCCACTTTACATTTCAACAGAAAGTATTTTCTGATTATTTGTCATTTGAGTTGCATAAATAGAATATTGTCTTAGGCTCAGTTTGATCAGTAGAATTATTAAATGGCCATTCAGTTCCTTACAAAGAGGGTCCTTAAAGTAATTAAAAAATATCTGTTTTTAGACGAATTGCCAGGTAATCCACTTAAAGTTTTCATAACACCTACATTCCTCACGCTCATAAGCTCCCCTTTCTCTGTCTCTCTCTCTCACACACACACACACACACACACACACACACAGGTGATCCCATTTATGAAATAATGCCTAAATTTCTTATTTTGTTAGAACCTAACCAGTCTTGGTAAAAATTTTCACAAATAAAACTTTTTCTGATAAAGCAATATATATCTGATTTTTTTTTGTCAGGGTCAACTTTCCAAAAGTTCTTATTTTCAAAACAAGGTATATATGGCACTTGTACAGATTAGGAAGCTGATCTTTGCTTTAACATGGGACCTTCATTGTCTGACTATAACTTTATAATTACAGCTTAATTATGTTCACCAGCTACTCAAATAGACCATATTTTTATTCATTCCTTCACTTGTTCATTAGTCTATTCACCAGTAATGTGGTGTTCAAAGTAGCTAGTAACACTTTAATAGTCTCCACTGTAGATGCACAATTCTTCCTAATTTGGTTTATTTTAGAAATATGAGCTGTCAATTAGAAATAGTTTAAGATTTTCAGAATTTATTGACTATATATAAAATAGCAATTACAACTATTTAATTTTTATGTAATAAAGTATATCTTTTACATACACATGATATGCATGCTAAGCAATGTTGAAGTATTTTGCAAATATCAGCTCATTTTAAAATAAATTGCTTTGATTATTGTAATATATTCAAGTCCTGGCATGGTGATAAGCACTGTACCACAAGGTTGGTTTGAGCTGCAAGATCAGTGGTTCAAACTCACCAGTCACTTCTTGGACCCCCTATAAAGTATCTCTATGTGTCAGAATCAACTTGGTGGCATTTAACAATAACAACAATAATAAAATAGTAATAATAATAGCAACATAATCATGTTCTTTTTCTGTACATTATTTCTGATTCTTAAAAATAACAATCTCACAAAGTAGGTGTTATTATCTTCATTCTGACAAGGTAGACATGGAGTATCAGTGTGTCTGTAAACCAAACCCCACACTACGTGTGAGGAGATCTTTTAGTGACCCTGTAAAGGGTTTCCAAGGAGTGGCTGGTGAGTTTAAACTGCAGACCTTGCAGTTTAAACCAACTTTTGGGTTGATTGCTTCTCCTACAGTGCCACACCAGGACTCAACATGAGTTTGGGGGAGGGAATAGAAAGCTTCATTTTTTAATATTGGGTTTGAGATACTGGTAGAACATCCAAGTGGCCATTTTCAGGAGCCACATAGATAAAAGAATCTGTACCTAGCTGAACTATTATACATTTGGGAGCCTACTGATCATTCAAAGTGTTCACAGAGAGTAGATGGACTATTGAGTCAGTGGAGAGTGAGGAATTACAGACTTGTTTTCTATACTTGTATACTTGTTACTGACTGCATGGCACTTAACAACATACTTATTAATAAAGCTTGACTCAATAGTCCATCTACACTCTATGAACACTTTCAATGATCAGCAGGCTCCCAAGTGTATAATAATTCAGCTAGGTGAGTCCTAGTGTGGCACGGTGGACTAATGCATCGGACTGCAAAGTCATTTGAACTGCAAGGTTGGTGGTTCAAGCTAACCAGGTGTTCCTTGGAAACCCTAAGTCGCTATGGGTCAGAATCGACTCTATGGCACTCAACAACAACAACATACTTGTTTATAACATCTATAACGTTGTTATAGAAAAATCAAGGGGACAATCAGAATGAATAAACTCTGAGCTTAATATCTGCAACATGTAAATCCTCAAGAAATATTGTGTAAATGAACTCGTGTATGAATAGATGGATGGGATGAAAAGTAATTTTAGGGGTTGTCAAATATCTAAAAGAGTTTGTTGTTATTGTTTGTTTTGTTTTCTAGAAGAATTAAGTGCAAACTGAAGCAAAGTCATTTTCTAGACTTTGGATTCAGACTAGAGAAGAGGAGAAAAGAGAAAGGATGTTTGAGGAGAAGTCTGTAATACTTATAAAGGTAAGGGAGGATGGAACACACGTGTTCACTCATCTGGTAATCAGTCACTAGTTTCTGCAGACTCCAATTTCATAGCCTATCCAGAATCTTCTTCTCATGTTCTTTTATTTAGCACCCCGGCTCAGGCCAGAATTCCAATAGCTTTCTAACTAGTCCCTTCCCTCCCCAGACAAACCCTGCCCAACTTCCACACAGCAACCAGAATAATTTTTCCAAAGCTCCAATTTTTCATGTCATTTCTCTGCTCAAAACTCTGTTTCGTGTCTTTTAGAGCAAACCCTATATTTCTTCTAATGGTTTATTGGATATGCATGATCTCCACCCTACCCCATAAACTCTCTGATCCCATAACTTACTATTTCTTCCCTTGTCCGAGCTATTTTCAGTTGCACTGATGTTTTTATTGTTGCTGTTGGATATTCTCTTGCTATCGTGACTTTGCTTTGGCTAGTTCCTCTATCTGCAATGTTTTCCCCCACAGATAACCTTTTCTAAGTTTGGGATCAGATGTTACTTTCTCAGTACAGTCTGTCATGACCATCATATTTAAAAATACAATTGCCTACCTTATTCTTCTTGTAATCACTTCCTGCTTTTATTGTAAGCACTAGCTAGCAACAAAAATTTTATTTACTGTTTGTTTTTCCCTGCCTCCAATGGAATGTAAGCTCTATGAAGGCATAGCTTTTTCTTTACTGCAAGACCCGGAAAAACACTGTAGTCCAATTGAGTTCCGACTTTCACAGGTTCCAGTCAAGATTCATTCCTAAAGAAGCAAGTTACTTAAGAAATACTTTAGTTCTGTAGTTTTACCTAGTTATTGAACCCCTTTAAATGCTATTCTTATTTACATTGACTACTATATATTAAGGAGTCTTGGTGTGGCGCTATGGGTTAATGTGCCAGACTGCAAAGCCATCTGAACTGTAAGGTTGGTGGTTCAAGTTTACCAGCTGCTCCTCGG